TTTCGGTTATATCAGTTGATTAATTTTGTACACATTGGTGTATTTCGTAACAGCTTATTTACTGAAAATAGTAACGGTTTCGGTAACAGTGCCATAAAACACAGATACAACATTTTCAGAACTTTAATAAATATAAAACTAAAATTCTTGAATGCATCCTTTGAGGACATTTACCAGCTGTTGATTAAAAAAAATTTGCTCGACTCCGACTTCGGTTAGTTAAAAGTTGCCAGAAGCTTATGTTAAAAGAAATTGGTTTTTGATCTTATGAAAATTATTTAGATAAGTATTTTGTATTATGTAAACATAAATATGATTCAAATGACAACTATTATGACAATGACAATTACCTAAATTATAACATATCACTAAGTTAATTTAAAAGTTGCCAGTATCTTATGTTAAACGAAGTAGGTTTTTGATCATATGAAAATTATTTAGACTAATATTTTTTATTATGTGAACATAAATATGATTCAAATGACAATTATTATGGCAATGGCAATTACCTAAATTATAACATATCACTAAGTTAATTTAAAAGTTGCCAGTTTCTTATGTTAAACGAAATAGGTTTTTGATCATATGAAAATTATTCAGACAAATATTTTTTATTATGTGAACATAAATATGATTCAAATGACAGCTATTATGGCAATGTCAATTACCTAACTTATAACCTATCACTAAGTTAATTTATCACAATCAAGCCTCTTTGTGTCTATGATTGATTCATTGAATCATTAATTTGTTTGAATAATTATAATATAATAAATCAACGAGTAGCCGTTCTTCGTACGGAGTGGAACAAAGTAAAAATCAGTACTGAATAACACTACGAAATCCTGAATAAAACTAAAAGAGACACCGAGACAACTAACAAAGCTAAAATAATTCCTTTCTTTAATTTCTTTATTATATTTCATACTTCCCGGTGGCTTTACTTTATTTGAGTAAACAGAACACATTATAAGTAGTTTCTTCCAACAAAATAAAAAAATAATTGTATTTAAAATGAAGCTAACAAAAGATAGCCAAAATTTCCCACAATCACGTGATTTTCTCCAGTAATTATCACTTCAGAGGGATCGTGAACAAACTCTTTTCACAGTATCCATATTAAATAGTTTTAATAAATAATTACTAAATAGTCTTGTTGTAGTTTATATATGTATTGTGCGTTTAAAAGATATTGCTATAATTTGTCTACTGTAAGAACTCACCCCGCCAAAGTCTGAGGCTGTCTGCTGCTGTGGAAACCAGAATAGCGCATTTTAGGGAGGGTAGATTCTCCTCACTCTAGGGCTAAGAAAATTGATTCCAGAAAAATATTCCCTTTCTCTTTTCGACTCGAGCCAAAATCTGTCCTAAACAGTGACCCCACACTCCTATTTGAAATAGTTATACTTCGATACCATAGTCACCGCCACTGGTCCATACGAATGACTCGGGGAGTTCTTACTTTAGACAAACTATAAGTAGTTCTTTTCGTATAATGATTTTCTTGGAATTTTTATATCGTGAACAAATTTATTTCATTAACTATGGTAATTTGAAAAAAATATAAGTCTGAGTTGGAGTTCTATCGGGTACTTGCAAGTCGAAGAAGACGATCACTGATGAACAAACACGTGACCTACTACCTCTCCTCGAGCTGATTGTTTATAAACAAGGTGGTATGTTAAAGTAGAGCTGAGGTTTTCCACGCAAGCTAGAATGTTAATTAATGTGAAGTTAATTTAATTAACTTCACATTAAATACAATGCCGCATCACATATAGAATTTGTAAAAATATAATTCTTTCTTGTCTACGTCTTTTACCCAACTTACATTTATTATTTGTTTACCTATTTTATTGTAACCGTGATATATTTTTGTTTTCTGTACCTGACTACTTCGATGCATAATTAGTTTGCTTATGTTCTGCATGCTTTTGTGCCTGCGTTGTATTAAGTTAGAAATAAATAGTGAAAGAATTAAAATATATGTGAAAGAATTTTTGCGAAAGAATGTAGAATGTGTAACTTAAAAGAATAGATACGTGATTTTCGTGACTTACTCGAAATTGAATAAGAAGAATGATTCCTCCCAAAAACAAATGCCACGTTTCAACAAACAATCAGGATTAAGATATCCGCACTACGTCCATCACTTGCAGGCATCTCATTGTGCTCAAGTATTAATCATTCAAACTTGCGGCCACCTGATTTTGTTACGAAGTTGAATCATATTATCATGCAAAATAAACAACCTTAACCTGTTTTCAAGGAACTATAACTGCACCGGAATGGAAAATAAAGTTAAACCTGAAACTTAGAAAAGTTTGCAGCCGATGTTGAATCTATAAACAACTCAAAACTAAGCCTATTTTTATGAACTTGTGATGCACTTAAGTAGGTTTTGTTGCAAGCTTTTACGCAGAAAAATGTCATACTTAAATCTTACTTCCAGAATCATTTAATTTGTCAAAATTATTATTTAATTTTTAAATAAAAATGTATGCCTTATTGGGTACACATTTCCTACGGTTTATGATTTTTATTTTTAAAACAATAGCTATGTAGTGTGTCTACGTCTACAAAAATGCAATTCCAATTAACTAGTATAGAAGACGTGTCAACTTTCATCTATGAAAATATACTCCAACCCAACATAGAATCGAATGACATTGTCTATTTTCCCCAGAAGCCGTATTAGAATAACTTCATCTTCATAATTCATCTCTATACATTGAAGGACGTTCACATCCTAACGAGCAAGGGTTCCGTAGTGTAGTGGTTATCACGTTTGCTTTACACGCAAAAGGTCCCCAGTTCGATCCTGGGCGGAACCATGTTCGAAATTTGTTCAATTTCTTTTTAATGTTAATGACAAATTTAATGAAATTTTTAGAAAGAGTAAATTGTGTCTGGTCCAAAAAAGAAAAAAAAAACTGCTGTTATTTAAGTTGTCTTCAATTGCTTAAGGATTATAGTATTTTTATCCTTAAAAGAATAGCTATGTTTGAAATTCATCTTTATATCTGAAGGAAGTGCAAATCATGCTTTACGCTCAAATTCGATCGAAAGTTCCAGTTCGGTGGAACAGCGCTCGAGTTTTTTTAATCCAAGTTTTTCTTCTCAATGACAAATCTTATGACATTTTAGAAAAAGTGTCGTGTATATATTTCGCGTCATAGTACACCGTAAGCAAAGGGTTAATATTGTGCTTTAGTTTTTATCTTTTTTGATAGAAGTGCTAGAATTAATTTATTTTAAATATGGATTCATATAGGAAGTTATAATTACTTTATATAAATAACTTTCATTTATTTAATAGTTTTCTTTCAACTTTGTTCTTCACTTTATTCAAGTAAGTTTTGTAAGTTTTTCGTAGCCTCTGATGTAAAAGTATATAAAAATAAAACAGAAATTTGGAAAAACGTAGCATTTTCTTTAAAAAAATATTAGGAGTTTTAATTTTTTGAAATTTTAATTTGATCGAATGAGTTAATTTCCATAAGTGTATCGTAATTTAAGATGTAAAAACGAAAATTTCAAAATGAAAATAAAACTGCCTTATTTAAAAATTATTTTATTTTTAACTATTGCAGCTAAAAAAGCGGAGCAAAGAATAAAAGAGAGAATTTTATTAGTCCGAATAATATATCCTCCTATCTTTTATCGAAATCATAAAAATTGTCATTTATGATGATTGGAGGTGAATTCGATGCAATTTTTTAATTGTCTGATCTTATTAAAGTATAACAATTTAAATTAGGAGATGTTGTTGATAGTAGTTCCATCTTTATTTGGGAGAAGGATATTATTACTTTAAAAAAAAAACATATTTTTTATTTTATAAAAGTTAAAAACCCAACGTTAACAACACTGAATCGAGGAAGAATTGTTTGACGAGCCATCGAAGGGAAGCTTAATTCAGGGACATTGACGGCGCCATCTATCAGACACTTTGAGAAAGTAAATCCTAAGTATCAAAATATACGCGACAACAGTTTATTTATTTTTTTTTTATTTATAGATATAATAGAGACTGTTTGTTCTATAATAAGATCTACAAAATGCTAAATATTTTTCAATTTACAAAAAATTTGTTGAATTGCTAAAAATTTCTAACAGAAGTTTATACATTATTTACATTAAATTTATCTTAATTATCAGATGAATTACAATCAGAAAAATTTTATGATTTTAAATAATTTTAAATCAATATGTAAAATATAATTTTATTGAACTCTATGAACATTTTAAATACTTTTTTCTAATTTTAAGAATTTATTAAAATATACTTGATAGTTTGAAACAACAATTAATGTTAATGTTGATTACAGATTAAATATTTTTTGTTTATTGCTATTTTATTTTTAAATATTAATATAGTATTTTGAAGAGATAATACTTTTAAAAAAAAGTCATCTGGGCCTTTTAATGTTTCTGCAATACTGCAAGATAATTTGAAAAATATTCGAAATTGATAAGTGAAATTATTTATGAGCTGATAAGTTACGTTATACTTAATTTTCTAGTTAATATTTTATTGTAATAAATATTTCAAGCTCATTAATTAATTATCAAGCTCATCATTTAAGTGGGTGTATGTTCAATTATAAATTAAAATAATTTATAATTGGCGTAGAAACAATTTTTTAAGTATGAGTGAATCATGAAATGATTTTCGATTTGCATAAAATTATTTCAAAAATATTAGTACAGCATGAAATATTTTGTGATTTTTAAAATTATTTCATATTCAGAAGTCTGATTGCAGAAGAGTAATTTTGAATTTAAACTTCATAAGAGAATATTTTTTAAGGAAAAATACTAAACAAATTTTTTTATTTTAAAAATAATCAAAAAATTATTAATGAAATTAAAATTGCTTGCTTTCATGAACAATTAATCAGCAATTTGCGCATAATCTGCTTTGCATAAATTTTGTTATACAATACAAATTAATAGATACTTATTCCATTAATTAACAATATTTTCTTACATTATAGGGCACTTGAAGGTCTGAAATTTCAGGATCAGAAGAATTTGGAAAATATCTTCAATATCTCCGAAATGTTACAAGAGCAACACAAGAAGAATTGGGTTTATTTGGATTTTTCCATAATTCCTCACAAATAATTATAAAGCAGAATACTAAAAATTAGCTTTATTTCAAAACAGATTAAATATAATATAATATAACATAATATAATCAATGTCTTATGAATTACTTTTATATTATCATTTTTGGTGAAAAAATTTAGGCAATAGAATTTAGACTTCTAAGCGTCAAAAAAAAGAAAATAATAATAACAATGCTTTTATTGAACAGTATTGGTTTTAGTGAAAAGTAAAATACATTTTGAATTCCATAAACAGTGATAAAAACAGGGACCATCTAATCTGCTAAAGTCGCAGTGTCAGAAAAGAAAAAAATAACAAATTTGATTGGTTAACAGGAACGGTTTTCTAACATCAAGTTCCTTAGTAACAGATATGAGTAACCGTTCTAAAATAACTGGTATAAATACATAGTAAATGGCTGCTATGATAATGCATTGCTGCAATTCGTCTTTCTAATTATTTGAACGAAGTAATTTTTGTCTTTATAATGCCTGGAATTGTAAAATAAGAGGAACAAAGTTCAAGAAATGATTGAGGTTTAGTCATAATGTAATAGATAGGATAATAGTATAGAATTTTTTTACACACTTTTTCAATAGATTTTTCTTAGGTAATAGGACAAAAACAGTTAATTTAATTCACATTTTTTAATAAAAAGAAATAATTAAAATAAAAAAAATAATGTTTTGTAACATTTGAATAAGTATGTGAAATATTAATTTTAATTATTTAACTATTATTGATAATATTATAACAGTATTTTATTGTATGTATAATATTACAAACTTTTATGTATAATATTGCAAATTTTTTACATTTTAGGCTTTAATTTCTCTTTAAGGAAACTGATATCGAAAAATCAGTTCAAAATCCAAAATTTACTTCAATTTATGAGTTTATTTAAATTGATGAAATATGCTAGAGAGAATTTGTAAAACATATTTGCAAACTTCTTATTTTCTAAAAATATAAGACACACATTATGATAATGCAAATTTTTAATATAATAGGTTTTTAATTTCCTCTATAAAAATTAGAGTTTACAAGAAATGTAAAGTTACAGCTAAAATGTAAAGCTTCGCTTAGAGCCGAAAGCCTTAAACTCAATTGTCAATTATAAAATGATGTCAATTTTATAATTGTCCCTTTGACTAATATTGAATTAGATTCCAAATTCGTGCTTTAAGAGAATAATTTTGAGGAATTACATTTTTCAAAACGATAAAAATAAGTATTATATTTTATTTTCTAAAAATATAATACACACATTATAATAATGCAAATTTTTAATATATTAGAATTTTAATTTTCTCTATAAAAATTACAGTTTACAAGAAATGTAGAGGTGGTACATCTAAAATGTATAGCTTCGCTAAGAGCTGAAAGCCTCAGTTGTCACTTATACAATGATATCAATTTTATAATTGTCCCTCTGACTAATATTGAATTAGATTCCAAATTCATGCTTTAAGAGAATAATTTTGATGAATTACATTTTTTAAAACGATAGAAATAAGTAAGCAAAGAAATAAAAAATAAAGCAACACTGGCATGATTCTTAACGGAAAATTAAATTTGACCATCTAAAATTATTTTAGAATTTTTCGTTTCTTAAATCAGATGATAACATTATTGCCATCCCTCGATTCAGTTTCAAACTACCAGAATACCATTGTTATAGCTTGAAATAGAGTAGTTTATAAAGATGATGGAATGCAAATAAATAAATAAATGCTTGTAAGTGCATAACTATTTAATATATAGACGTTAACTCTACTTTGTTACATATTTTTGAAGGCAACGTATTGTTGTTTTCAAAGAAATTCACAAATAACAAGTGCTGTAAAAGCTTATAACAGCTTTGGTTAATCTGATATGACCGGTTTATAACAATTTATTTTAAAATATAACTTATATAAACTAGTAAACAACTGTGATTTCAATATACATCTTTGAGCAAAGTTTTCATTCATAAGTAAAAAAAATATATGCATCTTTATTTGTTTCGTTGCAATCGTCAAAATATATAAATGAATGATATGATAATTTGGAGTAAGTTTTTAAAATAAAGGATTTTTTTCCACTTTTATCACCTGAATAATACCTAGTACAATGATTTATGAAAATAACTTTTAAATATGATTAATTTAAATTTATAATACTTAATTATGTGCTATTTACAGAAACCATTACTTAATCAAATATAATGAGTGTAAAGCCGGGAAAAGAAAAATATTTTATGGAAAAAACTTATTTTTTATAAAAATATCTTTAACATATTTGTTTTGCAGGAAAATGAAAAGCATATAATTATATAGAACTGATTAAATGTATTTACTTACAGAATTTGACTAAGAGAGAAATTTCATCAACAGAATCAGCATATCCCATCGTAAAGTGAATATTTTGTTTCAGCGCCATCTAGAATACATTCCGAGAGTTAACTTTTATTGCTCAAAGGAAGCTATTGAGTGAAGATTTCCTTCTCGCTTTTTTAAGTAAGAATATTTATTATTTTTATCAATTGTTTCAATTAGAATTTTCTCTGCTTATTTTAATTAAGTAATATATTTATTATACAACTATCTAGAGTAGTAACAGGAATTTTTTGAAGAACAATTTACACTTAAAAAATAAACATTAAAGTGGACTTTTTTTAATAAGATAAATTAAATAAGACATTAAAAATATCGAAATATATAAAATATGAATTGTGGTAATCGCTATAAACAGCAATTTTCTCTACGCCAGTTTTAATTCTCGCTTTTTTCCTGCTGACACATAACAATCAAAAACGAAAGAATTGCTGACACATGATAATAGCAACAAAAGAATTTTCTTAAAACACATATTTTTAAAAAAATAATTTGGTTCTTTATAGCATAATATAAATGAATATAATTAGGAAAACCTAAAAGCTAGGAAACGTAAAATTATTGTTATTTAAGCATTTATGAAGTCAAATAGTTAAATAATATTTTCTCCAAACTTACTTAATATAACACATTTTAAATAGCAAAATTCTAAATTCAATCAATCCATTTTAAAATTTTAATTCTGAAATTTAAGTCATTTTCTAATGGTTATAATCTTTTTGAAACAGTTAAATGTTAAACTTCATTAATACTTTATAATTTTTCTTTGTTTGATATCTAGTAGCACGTAATGAAGTAATTAAAATTTCCCAATATCTGTTTTAGCAATCAACAATTAAATTGTTTTTCAGAATAATTTTAATATCTAATTTACTGGATAATTTAACAGGCTAACAGGAACCTTAGTAACGGTGAAATAAAATAATAAAAATTGAATTTTTGACAATATTTTCGGTCTGTATAAGAAGCGCGCATGATTAAATTTTAATATATATGAACTTAAAAATTTAACTATGCAGATAAGAAATGCTGTGCAGTGGCTATCTCATAATTTTTTTAATGCTCGCATTATTTTCTTTCTTATTCTTTCGCATTTTTTAATAATGAAGACAATAAAATAGGAATATGCATCAAATCAGCTATTCACACTGTTGGAATCGAACGTCATTGCAGGTTTCGCAGGTCCCCCAAAGTAAAATTAAAGCATATCGTTCGTAAAAATTAACTTGTGCTAATTAAAAAAGAATAAGTGAAAAAAAGTTTATATGTTGAATGAAATATTTTTTTTCTTGTTTACAAAGCAGATGGGAATTTTTTTTTTCATTTGAGCTTAGGTAGTTCAGAGGGTGGCGGATGCCACAGTACTGACTTTAAATATCCTCAATGATAGACAAGATAATAGGTTAGATTTGCCGTTTGGCTAACTGTAGGGGATTTTCGTGATTTTCTTCTCTATGTAACGCAAATGTGTGTTAGTTCCATCAAAATAGTTTATCCATATGCTGTGTCAATTGCCTTTTGGGCTGAGTTGAAAATTACAAGGCCACAGAGTTGAGTATTGATAGTCGTTTACATAAAAATCGGTCAGACTGTTTCACGGTGGTTATAAAATGAAATAAAACGTTTAATTTAATTAACAATAAGAGCTTAAATTAAGTACTTTTTTTTAATCAAAATAAACAATATTTTGGAAGTAAATTGGAACAAAGAATTTAATTCTGCTTTCAAATATCCATTTATTATTGCCCTTAATTGTAAAATAATTATTTCTCAATTAAAACTCAAAAAATGAAATATAAGTAAAATCGTAATATGAAGATAACAATAAATCTTCATAAATAGTAATAAAGGTTAAAATATAATAAATAGGCAGAAAAAAGTGTATAAAATGTTTGTTGAATTTATCATTTAGGGATTCTTTGTAACATTCATAAGAAAAACAAACGCAGCTAAACGATACGTAAAAATATGATGCATGGGGTGTTGAAAAAATGATCATCTTTATTAAAGCTTATGAATTTATGCAAGATATTCTCCTTATTCCGTATATTCCCAAATGAATACGGAACTGGAAAAACGGAATTAGAAAATTCCCTTTAATTTACGACCAGAATCGGTACCAGAGTAATTTGGTATCCTGTCTCTGGGACCCAGTGCACGATGCAGTATTCGCATAAATAAAGTCCGGGAGAATCGACCCAGGTCCAGAGGTAATTACCGATCCGGCAAAGGGACCAATAAATCCGTGGCTCCCTTTCTTCTCCACCCCCCGCATTCCAATATTGGTGGAAGAATGCAAGTGAGAATCTCAATGAACTGAGAGCCCACTAATAATTACAAGCCACGTCACGAGGAAAAACTTAAAAATAGATTGTCTCGATTTCCGAGGAACGAAGAATTAGCTCCTGGAAAATTAAGAACACCTTTTCAGTTTGATGAAAAATATTTAATTAGGCAAGCTAATTACATTTATACTTGAAGAATTAGAAAGTTCTATAGGAAATATATTTTGGAATATTATGAAAGCTAAATTAACTAATATTAACATGTTTTGATAGTAGAATCAACTAGTAATATTGTGTTATGAATTTTATGAACAGATAAGAGATCGTTCAAACATAAAGTTTTTATCATTGCAATATCATTTATAAATCCGGCTTTGTGTGATTTTTAGTATCTAACCAAGAAGTGAGATATAATTTATGAATTCAATTTTGTGATAATATAGTTTAAAAAAATTATTAATGAATCAGAGTTAATTATATTTGTAATAAAAGAGATAGAGATAGGTAACAAAAAATATGTTCGAGCATATTCAGAGTTAATTAATATTATGTAACTGCTTTAAAGTTAATAAACATGTTAAAAGATCGTTCTAACAAAGTGCATTTTTAGATCATTGCAATATTATTAATAAATCTGGTGAGATATGGTTTTAAAATAGTTCTAACAAATCAGTATGCAAACACTGTTAAAATGCAGTTTTCTGATAGTATGATATGATGAAAAATATTTAATTGGGAAGAATTAATTACGTTTATGTATAAAAAATAGAGAAGTGCATTTCAAAATACTTTTGATTATTGCATCCAAAATGAACAAGCGTACTCTCTAGAAAACTAATGAAAATATAAGAGATGATTGAAATTGTTATTTTTATATCTCCCCCTCTCCAATAAGGATGTAAAACGATATCGCACATATATCTTCACCCCTTCTTTAATGTAGTATGTATCATTATCAACCATTAATAATTGCACTTTGATTTAGTTAAATCTTTTTTCTTTGTTTTAGCCAATCAAATTGTTCGTTGTTATAAATAATCAAAGTCCACTTTTGTACATTTTCTTTATCGAACATTTGATATTTTGCATTTTTGTGCAAAAATTCATTTTTGTTTGGATTATGTTTGCTTGTGCTTAAATTGTTCCTTGATATAGATATCACCGAGCAATTAGTGGGTGCACTTTTGTATAGTCTAGTTTTTTTTGCTCTTTGTCCATCACATTTTCTTTTGATGTCGTAATTACCGATCAATAAGTGCAATTAAATTTTTTTTTCACTTTTGCTTATTCGATTAATTTTTAAACTATAACATAATGCGTAGTAAAGAGATCTCGATCCATGACCTCACATAATCTATTGCTAACATAATCTAGTCACACATCTACACAACATAGTTTTGTCACATCATCTAGTCAGACTTGAACATAAATCTAGTGCCACGATCGGATATTTCTCTTCCTGTAAACCACTATGAAAGCGCTACGAGCAAACTTTGTCCAGTCATAGTTAGGGAAGAAGAATTGGTGGTTAAACCGTTCGTCCCTTATTTGGGAGAGTCAATACTTTTAACAACTAAATAATAACTATTAACACTTTTATGTAATTTTTTTTAAAAGTTTCAATACTTCTATTCAGTTATAATAATATCAGTTATTATTTTTCTTCAATACGTTTAGGTGGTACATTATATATNTTTTCCTTAATTTATGATAACCAGTGTATATATGTATATATATATATATATATATAGTTTGTCAAGGTTAACATAAATTAATTTAACCTTAAACCTTAATCATTCGAGAGGGCGATGGAAGAAAACAAGAATAAATCAGAATAATTTTGGATTTACAAATGAAATAATTTAGGCTTTAAAAAAATAAGTTATCTTTATTTTGAAAGTTCTTCAAAATCTGAAACCTTTGCTTAAAAATTATGCTTTTAATGTTTATGTTCAGCCTTATTAGAAATGTAATTAAAAAATGACGAACAGTTTTTTAAATACATTTCCATAACCAAGCCAAAAGTTAAATATGGAGACAAAAATTTAAACCTCTATATATCTTCTTAAAATTCAAGCCAACTACACAACAACCAATTCTCAACAGCATATCCGACCACCCTCCTGAAATATAGGAACGTATTTCACGGAGAAGAATTATTCTTTCATTTCTATAATGTCAAGAAACGAAGAGGAATCTCTCACATACCCCTTACATCTTTTCTCTTGCTCTTCTTTTGCTCTTGCTGTTCTTTTTCTTCATCCTCATCTTTCATTTCCCCCTGCTTCCGCGGCACTATATTTCTCCTCGGATCTCTCCGTGTTTGAGCCTATACTTAGTCCAAGAGAAGAGAAATATGGCGTCGCACACCCTCGTTAAGTGAGATATGTGCCAGTGACAGTTTTTGCGGTTCCACATTACGCACAAGCCCCATGCAATAACCATGGTTGAAACGTCACAATACATGGGTCTCCTTGCGTAGAGGAATAAAAGGACATAAACTACACATCTTTCTGCGTGAAATGCTGCCCGCAATATATGGTTAGAGAACGATGTGTCACCTTCGTACGCTCTGTTGATAAAAATGAAGCTGAATTACATCTCCTCTGCATTACTCATTCTTGCCGTTCCCAACCCTCTTCCTCTCTCTGTGTGTGTTTCCTTGTTTTTGTTGTTTTATGATGAAGTAAAAAAAAAAATTGTCCCATAACTATGCGCCTTATTTTCTAGTTATTGTTTACATTACTTGTAACAAAATAATCCTGCAAACACTTTGCAATACATAGTTTTTAAAAAAACATTTTTATTTAATTGAGCCTTAAAATGTCAACAGATCGA